TCTAGTCTAGAAACGGCGCGTGCCCGTGGCCCTCTTATTATCGGTTTGAAGAAGTTCTCATTACGCTCCCCTCCGCTGAACTGTTTTCCGACTAGCTCTCTACCCGAGTAGTCTCCTCTCGCTCTCCCGTGCTTCAGCCAATCTGCCTAAAACCCCATCCTCAACTATATAAGCAGCGTGAGGGTGCTTGCAGGGGCAGAAGTTGGGCTTGTTTGCTCAAGTCCGCCCCTGCGGAGGTCCGTGTAAGAAATACTTTGTGGATACCACAGAAGCTGGTAAAGACCAGTCTCCCGACCCACCGATCAGCCCTGTCGTCCTCAGTCCCTCGGCAGCGTGACCGGTACAGGCATTCGCAGAGCGTGCTCTAATTCCAAGCGCGTGCAAACACACGTGCATGCGCACGATCCCTCTGCCCTCAAACGCGCAGCCTTTCAGCGCCCTCTCCAAGTATCGGGCCTCAGTCAGACATCCATCACGCTAAAGCCCACAGCACCCCCCAAAACACTGACGTTTTGCAGTTTCCTCCACTTCTTCCCGTGCCTGTTTTCTCTCGCCTCAAGAGGATATCCCTCGCGGGCCGATGCTGAGGGCTTTTTTGACGGGGAGGCTCTTAAAAAGCCTTACCAGAACATGGGGAGAGGACGTATCCAGGCAGAAATATACTTACAAGCATACTCACAGCTAGAGAAATCTGTTTTCTTCAGAGAAGTAAAAATACACAGCATACGTAAGTTCTAGTAACTCTGTTCAGCCAAAATAGGAAAAAAAACAAAACCCAAACCCAAAGCAAAACCCAAAACGTATACTTTGGCTTTATTTACCAGTCACCGTTTCTACTTGTGTAGCCAGCAGCGAAACGCAGCATTTGGAACGCAGGCCCTCATAAGCAGGTCAAACTCCTTTGGAAGCCTCTGTGCATTCAAGCCCACCGCTCTGCCGCTCTTCTTCTCCCACATATTTGGTCAAGGACCCATTTCACAAGGTGCAAATATTGAGCCTACCCTGAGACAGCAACCTCGCAACTGCAGATCATTCGGGTCTAAAAAGTTAGACGGCGGCCTGCGCTGCACACTGGGATTGCTCCACGGTCCCGGGCATTACAAAATGCCACAGACCCCACAATGGCACCAAGGTGAGGGCACGGGTATCCGGAAGAAGTTAAACAGGGAAAAGCAGATTTCAAATAGCATTTCTTCTGTCCTAAAGCCAGAAGCACAAGCAGGGATTAAATACAAAAGAGATTTCTTTAAGCAGCAGTTCTATGGGGGAAAACTCCCTGGGATTCTGTCTTTACAGTTTCTGGAGGCCAAAGACTCGCGTGACCTTCCCTTTCCTTCCAAGAAGATTAGGATAGAAGAATCGTTTCTCACGCCAATAATCACACCTCCCCCACGATGCAGATTCATTACCGTTCTTGGCTTCGGGAAGCCGGGAGAGTCACCCCTGCCCGCATAGCTGGGACTAACAAAACCAGCCACCTACTACTCGGGGGATGAAAACAACTGCGCGTGCGAGAAAGGAAACCATGTACGGATACGAAGAGAAAGGATCAACACGTTAATCAGGAGCACATCAGAACTGAAAAACTCCCGGTGCACACAGCTGAGCTATTCCCCCTTACCCCTCTGTCCTTCAAACAGCAGTTTACCCAAACACCCTGATAAACATTCTGCACTTACCGAGAACATTTAGAAGAAGATAAAAGGTTACAATATCAGTCCTACGCTGCATGACTTTGAGAAGCAACGAAATGGCAGAAAGTACATCTCCGCTAGGAAACAGGAGTGGGTGTGGGAATTAATGTTTGGGGATGCGCTCTGTCAGCACTTGACAATATCCCTTTCCTCTGCAAGTTTCCTTTGAAAGCAGATACCAACTTTCACAGCATTTTACTGCCCACGATAAAGAGCACTGCCAAAAATTCAAGGGAAGATACACACCAACCGTCATGCGTGCCGCGTGCCGTTTGTTCCACGGACCAGGTAAGCGTGCTGCCAGGTCAAAGCTCAAAATCAAAAGCAGTACCTCCCCTGCAATTCATCAGCAGGCATAGCCCGGAGCCAACAAACCGGGAACAAATTCAGGAAAGCCCA